CAGATGAAAACCTACATCTCTTGATGAACGTATGCAAGGAAAAAAAAAGAAGCTAAAAACGTCAAGTTCATCTGAACCAAGAATACTAGTTGCACAGTAAACAAGGCTGGAAAAACCAAATTAGGGACTAATATCATGGTATTGTATGTATATACCCTAGAATAATCATTTACCAATCATTTACTATTGAAATCATGAAACTTTGCTTGCCACAGATATACTTTCCTACAGTTGGCCTAAAGAATGTTGGACATGTACAACTGCAACTGCATTCATTTGTAAAAACATAACACAAACTTTTTGTTTATAGAAAGCTCATTTGGTGGTCATTACTTGATATTTAGATACATTTTATTTTACCACAGTTTGTCTCCTTGAATCTTGTTCTTACTTTTAGTAAACATCAGATAAATATGGGATCATCAGAACGCCAATATACAAAGTCTTACCCTTTGTAGAGACTTGAACCTTTGTCGCCTAGATCGTAAAGGAGTAATGATACCAAGGTTCACCCACATAGCATGAGATACAATCCATTTACAAATTTTCATAAATAGAAAGTTTCTACCATTGAATTTTTAACAGATTTGGTATATATGCTTGAAGCACAACAAATAAAAAATAAGGTCACCAATTTTTTTATTCAAATATTTATAACACAATACAAACCCTAAACAATGAAGGGTTACACTTTCAGTTTGAGTTTTCTCAATAATTTATTCACAAATGATAAAGAATAGCATGTCAAATAAAAGTTGATGTTTTACCTCAGCTTGTCGGCTAGCATGCAATCTAATCCCAGATGCATCATACATAACCTGTCAAACATTTATGTGACTAAGTCACAATCTCCAAAAAATGCACGAATGATCCAAAAAAAATCATGTTATAATGGAATACAGAAACAAAAGCAATGGTACAAAGTGTTTTTCTTCATCAATACAAAAATAATGTCTACAGAAAAATTGTCCTTTCAAGCATGGTTTTAATTTCACCCGACTTGCTACGAAGTGCTGTAGTTAAGGTGTTTGATGTATGTTCATGACCCTTAAAACATAAGATAAGTGGCTATCCTGTTCTCCTTTCATCTTATGAATGTATACGACTGATTAGGCAAATGAGAGAGGAATCATGTTGAAGTCGGTGGGAACTAACAGGGGTCACAGGAAAAAACGACTTCTCCTGGGAAGTCACAGAATTAGAGTGGGTTAAGTGGCTGTAGGTGATGATTGAAGTGGGTGGTGGAATAGGTAAACTAAGACACAAGATTAGCGGTGGAATAGGTAACTAGGACACAAGATTAATATATAAAACATATATATTGCCTATTTTATTTAGTGAAATTTCATTTAACTATTTTGTATTTCATATCATACAATAAATCGTATGCCTAAATCTTATTATTTTTGTATTGCGTTTTTGTCCATGTCACTCTGAAGACATTTGTTCCTTACTTTTCTAGCTTTAAGTCTACAACCATTTCTTCAAAATCTAAAATCACATGATTGTATCAGTCAGTATTAACCCAATAGAGAATCCTCATCAGCCTGAATGAATTTGAAAAAGCTCATTAATGCAGATCCAAAAAAATCCACAAGATTCATGGTTTCATGAAATTATTAATGATAAGAGTTATTAAGGTGCTACCTGGCAACTACATGATGGGAGAAAACACTAACAAATAAAAGATCCCACTTGCACATTTTTGGTTAAATTTGATATTGTTAAATAAGAAACCTGAATGTGGCCCTGAAGGATAGGTAACAAGAAAAAAAGGAAAAACACTTACAATAGATGCTAAAATTACAGCCAGAGCAAATGAAGAACCACCAGTGCCTTCTTCCAGAGCGATTGCCATAGCAAGAGCTGCCACAGTTGCTGAATGTGATGAAGGCATTCCACCAGATCCAAGCAACCTCCTAGAATCCCATCTTTTCTCCTTATACCTGCATGTCTAGGATGGACATACCGAATGCTTAGCACGAAATGAATATAACATTGAAAATGCCAGGTTATGAAATTGGCATGACAAAGTCTAATAAAATCCTTAGTCAAAAACATGCCAACAAGAAGTAGATACCCACTTATTGGTAGCTTCACTTTAGGGGTGAAAATAAGCAAAAATTAATATGGTGATTAATTGATCTATGCAAAAAATCAAAGATGAAAAGTAGTTAGAAAGGGATGCATGCTGTATGTTGAGACTGTAGATGGAAATTAAGGGATCAACATATTTTTGTATGACTTTCAAACAACTATTTAATGTTTAATCAATTATATGGTTCTGGTATGTTTGCACACCTTTGCAGGTAAACAACATAAGTTTAACTGTAACTAAGTGCATGGCATCTAGCAAAGCAATACCTTTCTTAGAAATGGGCACGTTTGGTTTTTCCATGTCAGTATGATGACCTAAAGAGGATACACCATAGATTATTCTTCCTTACGCATGTAATTTTAAGTCCTGTTGCATCCAATCTTCTGCTATTTTATCAAATAGGGCTAATTTTCTAAACATCTTGCCATTGTTCTTACCAAGACCCAATAGGCCTGTGGAGGCCCTTGCCTAAACATCAGGTGCTTAAACCTAAGCTTCTGTATGATCTAATATTATATACATCATAAAGATCTAGCTTTAAGAACTATCCCATCAACAATAAAGGAACACAAAATCATCAAATATACAAATCAATGATACTGATAAATGACATCAAAGTGGTTAGATTGTAGAAATATGTCTCCACCCATAAGGAGATATCCCTTTTGGTGGAAGTTTTGAGTTCGTCCACAAGTTGATCTTGTTGTGTAATGCCTTATCCATGTGACCGCCTTAGTAAAGAAAATTGTAGAAAAAATATTTGACACTGAGTCATGTTCTTGCCATTGTGGGGATAGGGCAACACCAAAAAGTATTATGAGTGATAATGATCATGTTCATAGAATTGGAAAGAACTACTATGGTGGAAAGGCGAATATAGTGTGTTCACAAGAACAATTTATAAGACATCTGCAAGGTCAATTTCCTTTATTATCAGATTCTTAGGTGGTTAGGAAACAACATGTTAACATATACACAAAAGCTAATATTGCTATGATAAAGATGTTGAATTAAACTCGAGGGATTTTAAGCAAAAAATAGGTGGTATTTATATTTATCGACAGCGAGGGATGGTTCTGAATGAGGTTAATGTAAGGGAAAACTTCTTAATGTGGTGCGGATAGATCTAAGGAAGACCAAGAAACACACCAATTCCATGGAGTCACATAGGATTAGTGACGTGTGGAGAGATAGAGGTAGTCCTATAAACTTTGTTAGTAACTATAAAAAAGATTTGGCAACTCTCAAGTAGATTAGTGATATTGCCCCATATAGAGCTTGATGGATGGAAGAGATCCATGTACTAAATCCCAAATAATTGAGACTTATGACTGATTGTAGTTAAACCAAATCGTGATGTCGTGTCAGATGAGCTGAGCTGCCAATGATAAATGCCTATCCACATTTAACCTCCTTGGTTAGATCCAATCCTCCTCAGTGGCCAACCAAAATTCCCAGTTTAATTAGATAGCTGACTTCTTGTCATGGTTATCCTAAGACCAATCAGTTCCAAATATAAACAAGCAAAATAAAAGAAGTATCAACAATTTCTACACATAAATCCTCGACAAGAACAACAAACACATAATGCAAAAGGTGCACCAGAAATCCACGAACCATCAACGTCAAAAGATTTAACTCTTTTTGTCCGATCCTTGATTAAAAGGCATGAAATACGCAGAGCACCAAAACAAGGGCATATTCTCATCATCCGAAGACATAAAGAAAGATGGAAGAAAGGACGCACCAGGTGGTGAAGAGCTTGAGGAATTGGGCAACGGCGAAGGCGAGGACGGCGGAGAACAGCGGGCGATTGACAGCGGCAATAGGTGGGGGCGGGGGAGCGGAGGCAGCTGCTGTCAACGCTTCGTCCATATTGCTCCTCTTAGATCCGACGCTTCTTCCCCCTTCTCCTCTCCCTTCGTCGCCCTTCGTCTTCCCAACCAAATAAATACTATTTTCCGAACGAGTAATATTGTTATAAGATATATATATATTCCATAGATGAGCCAAAATCGCCAAACTCCCATACAAGATCAAATTTCCCAATACGACCCAAGTTAGCCGCTCATGACCCGTAATTACCCATTTGGGATTACAATAACAAGGCACTTTACGGCCCAATTACAGCCCCAAAATGAAATGGCCTTGTCTCGTTCGCTACCGTAAGGCGTCCCTGCCCCGCCCGATCACCGCCGCACCCTCCTTGGCGCCCGCCTTCACCTATACGAAGGTGCGGAGGGGCGCGTTGGCACCGCCGCCGTCGTCCAACCGGGCGCGACTGAGATGCATTTCGGGCTGCAGGCAGTCTAGGAGAAGCTCGCGAAGGCGAGGGAGGCCGCCCGCCAACACGAGCGCTCACATCTCTCTCTCTCCAACTCCCATGTGTTTCAATTATCATTTCTTGCTCGCCTCCTGTGATCGACCATGATTGAGTTTACTTACGAGTCTCTGAATTAGGCCTCCAAAAAAGGAAAAAAAAAACCTTCTTTTCTCTTTTCACACGAGTTTCTTGTTTGAAATCGTATAGCATCAAGCGGAGTGCGTTGCTTATGTTCGTAATCTGGAGAAGAACAAAGCTTGTTCATGTTGTTTTTGCTAATGATCATAGGATGATTTTTCGGACGTGTTATTGCGCTAGGAAAGTTGGTTTTGGAGAAGTTAGGAGATGGGATCGTTCATCCAAAAATTAATTAGAATTACAATTGTTATGTTAACAAAAGAAAGAGGTGTTACCAAGTGCCATATTTTCTCTTGGTTGTCAGTTGACAGTGCCAAAATTGCCAAGGCCTTGGAATTTGCAAGCTTTGAAGTATGAGATACGAGGAGAAACTAAGAGATGACCCAAAAACATGTTTGGAAATATAAAAACATGAAGAAAATATCATGAGGCATTGTAGTAAATTTAGAAATATTCGTAAGCAAGCATGCTTCAAAATAGTAACAGTATCCAGTCTCAGGACAAAGTGAATCCAGAGTTCAAACATAGATATGAAATAAAGTTCAACAAGGTAAAACATAAGGCATTCCTCATGAACAGAGTCAAACAAGCAGACACAACCTAAGCATTTGGCATATGATTCCAGTTCATTTCTTTTGGGCAATGAAAAGGCCCCACCTCTGCTCACCAACGGAACTTCTCTTCAGCTTTGCCTTCCAACCATTCACAATTTCGTCGTAATCTTCCTGCATATCAATGTTATCGGTATTATTAACATTTGTTTAATGATTATAAATGGAAAAATATACAAATCAGATTACCTGTGAGAAATCACGTATGAATCCTTCCTTGCCCATCTCAACAGCATCCAATTCCCTTTGCAGAACCTCTAAAAACTGTAAAGGAAAGAAATGTCAATTAGTTTTGTGCCTAATTTTCTGTGTTGGTCTTTAAACTATAACCCGTAAATCCGTCTATGGACATTACAATACATAAGCGAACACATACCTGATTAGTCCTATCTTCTGCAATGACCTTATTAAATCCGGCATTCTTTAGCATCTGATAAGAAAATTAGCATTCATTACTTCTGTCCTTGAGTATGTCAAAGCATGCAACTGATACGAGTGTAGAAACTAGCCTGGCCATAAGCATCAACATCATGAAGATCATATCCTCTTTGCTTAATATATGCTGCAAAATCGTCAGATGGTGTTCCTAATTTTTTGCAGTAATCACTGATAAGAAGCTTGCCTCCTGGTTTCAACCACTTAAAAAAGCTCCTAAACAATGTTGGTTTGTCCTGAAAAAGAAAAAGCCATAATCATCATGAATAAACATAAATGTGATCTAGCAAAAAGGATATCAGTTTACCAAGAACACAACATGTAGATTTCATGATCTCTGAGTTTTAGATACCAGTGGTAATCTTGCATGATGATGTTTGATAAGGTTACATTTTGTCCTGCAACCAGCATCTGTTGGATAGTTGGAGAGTCAAAGCCTAATAAAGATTCAACGATAATTTCTCTCCCAGAGAGATCTTTTGGAGTCCACAACTGTGTGAGCTTATCCAGATCATCGTGGCTGCTATAAGAGCTCCAGTCTAATGTAGACCTTATCAATGCTAAATGAAAAGATTTATTTGTTGTAGAGTTCATCTTATTTGTCTGCTAACAAGAAAACTTGCAGCTTAATTATTTTAGCCCTTTCAGCATAGAATTCTTCCTAAAAAGAAATAAACTCTTATTGACAGAAGAGCAAATGGTTGCCAAGTTTTCTTGGAGTTGTAAACCTTGATGGATAACAATTTATAATGAACAAAAAAAATTAAGAATAAGAGGGCAAACAGAAAACACAAAGGAAAATTCTTAAATTTTTGTTGTTATGTATTTCAATTAGTCTGTTTGTCATTTCTCTCTTTTGTCTACTATATCTATCTTCAGATGTCCTCAACACAGCAGTATCCACTAAAATAAATCTAACAGAAAATCCTATGAGAAGAGCATACCTGTATATGAAGGATAGTGTCGCGGCTGTATATAACATCAAATGTGTTCTCTGGATATGTTTTCTTTGTGCAGTCAGCAACCTCAAACTCTACAGCGCACTTGCGTCCAATTGCACGTTCAAGAGCAAAAGACACCATATTTATTGAAAGATCTATCCCGACCACGTCGACATCAAAGTTTTCAGCCATATAAAAGTCACCACCCCCGATACCACATCCAACATCAAGTACCTTCTGTCCAGGCTTAAGTTCAAGCTTTGCCACAAACTCCTTTGTAGTCTCTGATGATGAAGGTTAATTAAGCAACACAAAGACATATAGAATACAGTACATGAAATAAGATGGGAGAAAAGATACTCTCGTATATTTAAGTAAATTCATTAAACAAATTATGTTTCATCAAAGAAACCCATCATTCTTATCTGTTATGCTTTATTGGCCTGAAATGAGAAAGTTTGTGTTATATAGATGAGCTAAAAGAAGAGAGAAAATTGACAACTATGAAGGAAAAACAACCTGCCACATGTCCTTATATAATGCAGCTAATTTTTAAGTGAGAATTGTGAGATAGTCAGTAGTGCTGAAGGTTATCTAAAACAATTAAGTGTCGCAGGATTAACTTAATATAAAGGAGGCTTCTTAATTTCATCTGGGAAAAACAGGGTTGCTGATACAACTGCATCCAGATCAGCTGTACTATCATCCTAATATCATATACGGATGATATAAAATAGAATGCTAGTTATGCACAAGCTTTCTACGGCATTCACTTAAAAAAGTCAAATAAATGTTCATTAGATATATCTATTGTCAATCACTAATATTTCATAAAAAAAAAACAATAATAAACAAATAACAACACAGAAGTTCCCAAACCACAAAGCTGATAAACTGGTTTTTAGAAACATATTTATCATTTCCATAATGGTAAACCAATCAGTTCTTTTTGAATTTTGAGGCAACTTTTCTTTGTAAGGCTTCAGACAAGATATAAGAAACCAATAGATGTCATCAAAAAGAACAATTGGCATAAATTTAAGCAAATTAGACTTTAATAAACCATTCATAAATCACATTAAAAGTCATAACATAATATGTGTACATACCAATTCCTCCAGTGCTCACAAAACCATCTCCAAAGACACGCTCATAGCGTAGAATCCCATTGCTTTTGTATTGTACATTGTCCAAGAAACGTTGGAAACCCCTTCCATCATCTGATTTATTTTTTCGCCATATCCAACAGATCTGCAGGTTTTTCAGAAAAACATGTAGTAACAATTGATAGAGAAGCCCCCTAAACAAATTAGAAGAGTAAACAATGAAGGATTACCTGATTTTGATTTTTCTTGTTCTTCACATAAGCTGCAATGCACTTATATGTAATAAGAGAGAGTTCAAATGAGTTTCCTTGGTCATCATATGTATGGCACTCTTTAAATACCTGCATTAAGTTTTAAGTCTAAGACTAGAGTAATATGAATACATTACATTATACAGCATAATTGATGGCACAAGGCCCACAAGCATACATCTGAACTCAGCTAGTGATCTACATGTACATATTGGAGTAAGCTATTCATTGATGCTTGATGTAGATATGTGAAGAAGACCTAGACGCACTATGAGATGAGAAAAGTTCTTCATTATATAAGAAAAAGAAGGAAGCTCAACTAAGAAAGTTCGAGGTGTGGAGAGATGATGAGGATAAAGATTAAAAATAGAACTTCTAGGTGATAATTTACACAATTTCATGAAAACTGTTATGCATTTTGACACAGTTAAGCAATTGTCCTTTGAAGTAGTTTCACTCAGTACATTTCCAATGGGTCTATTTTGAACAGTTTGCTCTAGTGGCTTCAACAGGCCAATTTAATTTAAACTATATGGATAACCAACACTTTGTATGAGAACAAACATAAAGACCATATTTTGCAAACAGAGTACAGTAAGCAAGGTCAGAATATCTTGATGTACGGATACAACACTAGCTGCATCACCTTTGTGTAAAATCTTGGCTCCCGGTAATGTGTTGGATTGACTTTCCTTTTGGAGTCGCCAGATTGATGGAAACAAGATTCTCTAAAAAAGATATACCCACCGACTTTCACCCATTTTACCATCCTTTCAACCAGTTTTTCCACCTTAACAAAATAAAGTTATGTCATGAGGAAAAATGAGCAAGAAAATATCAACATTCAGAGATAAGTGCAATGTCCTTAAAAAACACTGAACACAAAAAAGGATTATTGAAGACAAATCTAAAAATGCTAAAAGGTAAATGGTCATCTAATTAGCATAAAATTCTATCAGAATGCTCAACTATAATTACAGATTCACTTTTGAAGGAAAATAGTTAATATGACAGATCTCAACAGATTGTCTTTCTAGAATCAGCAATTTCATTGCCTAGACAATAATAGATAAACTCACATTCTAGCAATCTAGTCAAACCAAGAAATAAATATTGGTTAGTCATGTGCTAATCTGATTGCATTAGCATACTAATTTATGTAAACCTATAACATTGTCCAGTTGATTATTTTGCAAATGAGTAGTTGTCATATCAAACTCCCATACCAACAGTACAAAAACATGTCATACCAGCCTACATAAATATATGTCAACATGTATGGGGTGCGTGCCATGCTAAGGATGTGAAGACATACTTTTGAAAAGGGAAGTTAATACACAGCATAGGATCAGTATGTGGCTATGTGCCACGCTAAGGATATGCAGACATACATTTGACAAGGGAAGCTGATAAACATAGTATAGGATCACATTATAAAATTTGACAAATATACATGAACGCTCCAGTGTCATCAGTAACAGTGATGAAAGATCAGAAAAGTACAAATTTAAAGAACTTTCAGAGGACAAAATATAAACAACTTAGACACATGTATCCATTTCTCTGTAAGTAACTGGTTTGAATTTGGAAAAGATAATTAAACTTCCAATAACTGAAATCAGAAGAAACAAAATTTTCACAAAGGCAAGATTACCTCTTTATCAGAGAGATACATTAGTAACCAATTTGAAAATATCAGATCAACAGAATCTGCCTCAATGGTCAAGTCTGGAGATGTGACATCAGCACACATAAAACTTGTATTCTTATAGTGCCCATTCAAACTTTCATTCTGCAATACACAAGGTGGAACAAAACATTAAATAACAAATGCCACGAGAAGATTCTAAACTTGCATGGCGTCTGGGGCACATGAGCCAACTTTTCTTTTTTTTTGAGAAAACATTCCCAACAATACCTTTTTAATCACACTTTCAATGAAGTCCAAAGCCAGAACATGACCAGCTTCCTTTGCAAGTTCACTAGTAAAACGTCCGATACCAGCTCCAAGCTCCAAGACTGATTTTCCCTTGTAAGGTGGAAGTAAGGAAAGGACCTACAAATTGGTAACATTTCTTATGGTCTAAACTCTAAATGCTCCTTTTATCACAAAGTCTATCATTCATGAAGAGAAAGCAATTATTTGTTGCTAAGAGCTTACAAATGGCACTCTGCAAATAAAGGTCTGTGGCAATCAAAGTTTAATATTTTCATTTAAATGCTAACAGAAGCATTTAACAAATGGTTATATTCAATTGGTATCTTTAGATGTAACATTTCTGCATTGTAACGTGGGAGAATAACTCAATCAGAAAGGAACAGTTTTGTTCTCTAAATCAGTTGTACCTTTGAGATGAAGGGTTAAATTTGCTCAATATTCCAGCTTAAATATATCGGAACTTTGAAGGACTTAAATGGCTTCGTGTGCCAGATAGCCTTTTATATTTTGATACAAGATCCTCTTGTGTCTACAGTTCACTCGCTAAAGGATCAGGTTTAGAGTATCAACCCAAATTGACAGTCACTTCTAAAGATCAAAAGAAACATTCTATATGAAGCATTCACAATCTCAATCTAGATCAAAAGAAACACTCCATAGTTAAACTCGTGTTGACAGTAAAACCTGTGGACCACAATGGTGAGAATAAAATAATAGAAGACACAGTCAATGTTTGTGATTCTACCGTTCTCGATCCAGATCCATCCATCCATATTCTAAGTTCTGGATTTGTCAAAACTGATCCAGATCATATCATCTGCTAGCAACAAGACTGTTGAGCAAAGTACAAAGGAAGATAAAAGAAAAAGACCATTGCAAAACCATCATTCGTTTAGAACAATCAAATCCTGTCACAAATTTCATCCAAGGGCTTCAGAGTGTCAACACGACATAACAAACGGTTCGAGGGATATGATACCTCAGGCCTCTCTTCCTTGTCGAGCTCAGAGGCACGAGAGTCGAGCATCATAGCCTCCAGGGTCAAGTCCCTGGAGTGCTCCATCCAGTAGCTCTTCTGCACCTCCCGCTCCTCTTCCCCTGCCACTCATGGTCAGAATCCAGATCAACTCGAATCACATTGAGATCTTACCATGAATGACACCGTTACCAGCAGAAGCCATTACTTCGAAGGAAGAGGCGACAACAAGGAACAATAGTTTGAGAAACATCAATCAATAAAAGCGAAGATGGATCTTTCATCTTACCATGGACAACAGTCTTAGCGAAGGAAGCCATTGTTTTCTTGGATCTTGCTTCTCAAAATACCACGGAACTGGAAATGGCTACGATCCCTCGATGGCGATGCGAGCTCTGGAGAAGCTCCGGGATCGACGATCGTGAACCCTCCCCTTCTGCTGCATACAGATAGCCGCACCCGGAAACCTAGAACGCGTCTTCCCCCTGCGATCCTTCTTCCGCTCCGTGACTCTCTTCTTAAATGAAGATGCAGCCGAAGCGATCAAGAGACCGCATAAGACTTCTACGCGGGTGTTCGCTCTACCGACAATCTGTTGCAGATCTTGTGCGTTATCCAATTGACCGTACTCGTAGATCCACGCTTCCATTGGTAGATGTATGGGACCCAAGAACTGTAGTCAATAGACAGACGAGTTAGTATGTTTGGCCTCATGGCCAGGACGGGACAGCAGATCCGTCCGGCGAATTTAGTTGTTACTTTGTGTGCGATGCTGTGAGTTAACACCCTGGCCTACCTCTCGGGTTATTGGACATAGTGGTGGGCCAAGCCGCCGCTAATAATAGGGCCGGTGGATTAAGAGTTGGTTCGCCACTGGGACCCACTTCGGGATGATGTGATATCACCGAAGACCGTATGAAGAAAAAGGGTGAGAGTGACGATCAACGGTCAAAGGTTTTACCTGTAAAATGAGAGACGTAATGATTTATACATCTTATTTTTTATAATAATTAATTTTTTGTATATAATAATTAATTATAAAAATAATTTTTATAATAATTAATTTTTTGTATATAATAATTAATTATAAAAATAAGTTTGACTTGTATTTATTTTACTTTTTATAATTGATTAATTACTAATGGCTTTTTATTTTAAAATATACAATGTATGATCAATTTATAAACCTATTTATGATTTTAAAAATTAATATCAGGACAATTATATGAAAAATAATATGTTAACTTAGAAGTTCCTAATTACGAAACAAGTTTGTTCACGAATTCATTAATGTGTTCGTTCATGAGCCTATAGAGAAGGAATTTACTCATTTTAGGAGTTAGATTTGTCAGGTGATAGGAGATTGTTGTGTTCAGGTTTGTCTCGTCTTTTAGAAGTTAAGCTTTAGAATTAAGTTTAATCTTAATTTAAAATTTTAAATGAGTATTTTAAACAATGAGATGCTGGTTTAAGAGAGATATACTTGCAAAGATGATTTAAACTACATGATATTTTTCTATTATTTATTATCAATTTTTATAGAAGAAATATATGTTCTAAAGCTTAATACGCCTAGTCACCGTATCGAGGATATTAGACAAATGCTAAGAAAATATTTTATTCATGACATAAGTATCTCAACTTCGAACATGCCCTTTCATAAATATAAATGTTTTTTTTTTATGCACAAAGAGTCTTTCACAAGTAAATGCATATAAAGTGTATGACATATTCTTTGCAAACAAAAGCATCATGATTTTCGATGCATACTTTACGGATGTAGCTTTTACGCATAATGCATTCTTTGTAGACAAAAATATCATAAGTGTTTAATACGTCCTTTACGGTTAAAAAGTATTTTAATGTCCAAGACATCACACAAGTATTTTTAATAATGTAAGCTGCGTCTAAAACACAACTCGAATGGCGATCACAACATTCTCATGCAACGCCATCGATTATCTTATGCTTCATTATAACAAATCTCATGCTTTACCGTAATAAGTTGAGCAGAGGCAATTTTATATGACCTACTTGGGATTCTAGTATGTTCAAGGCAAATTGGGTGATTGTAAGTTTTTACTTCTCGATGTGGGCATCTCAACATGTTTAAAGCAAATCATGTGAAAATAAGATACGGGCATCTTGACTTCCTCCGTCACCCGACATGAGCATCTCACCGTTTTGTAGTAGGTCAAACCATGCTATGTGATAAGTCCTTATAGTAGATCGAGTGATAGTGTGTGCTAAATCAATTGAGACATAGCCTCCATCTATTACCTAAAGTGAGTATCTCAACGATCTTATAGCAAATCAACCATCCATCACCCCAAGTAGGCACTTTTAACATCCGATCAACCACATCCTCCATCCATCGCCTGACATAAGCATCCCCCACTTTGTAGCAGGTCAAGTAGTGATAGATGATATGTCCTTATGGTTGATCAAGTTGGTAATAATGTGATAGATTAATTGAGACCCAACCTCCATCATAGCCCTAGGTGAGCATCTTAACAGCCATGTAGCAAGTCGGTTGAGACCCAACCTCCATCATGCCCCCCGCTTTATTTGACAATAATGCAAAAGCATATAAGTAACAATCTTCGATTGCCTGATGTGTGGGCCTCTTTGACATCTTTGTTACAAATTTGTTAATAATGAGTTTCCATTGTCCAATGTGGGCACCTCAAGACTACTATAATAGGTTGGTTACATCCACCCTCCATTGTCCAAATCAATGGATTGGCCAATCTACCAAGATACTTCATCGCCTAACATAAGCTCCTCAATAATATTATAACAATTTGGCCAATGTCATCTCGCTCAATGCACCCACCATAAACTAAGCATTAGAGGTTGCTCGATGCATTGATGATCAACGTTTTTAGCCATTCCTTGGTCATACTTCTATATCCAGGTTTCAAAGCATGCCTTCAAGGGGAGATATTTGTCCAATTAAGGCTTAGCACATGGTAGATCAATCAACACAAGGAGGACAAGGGACAAATGCCTAGAATATTATTTCCTAGGCATCTGACTATTTTCTATAGTTAAATCGATTATAAAAAAACTCACTATATTATAGTAATTGAGGTTAGTGATTACTTACTAGAAACTTTCATTTTGTTTCATAACTAACTTGAGAATCAAAGGGACATCGTTGAGAAACACATCCGATCTTGATCTTTGTGTAAGTCGATCATACCAAAAAAAAAAAAAGCATTAGAGTCCTGATCAACCGTCAAATGATTACCAAAGTCACATTTAGCTATATCATCAAACTTCTTTGCACACATGAAATTGAATCAAGTTAGGCTAATCTAGACATCATTATACCCATCACATCAATTTGTATACGATAAACATATCTAAATTTAAGATTATCTAAAAATTTAAAAAAATTTATCATTATTTATTATAGAATATGTCAAAACGTTCTTAATTTTTATCTAAAACAATATATCTCATACAAATGTTTGCTATAAAATAACAAAACCTAAGTTGATAATCAGGGTTGGTAGGAATTTAAGCTAATTATAGTTTTCAATAAGGTCAAAATCTATCATATTTGGTTATTATTATTTAATAAATAAATACATATTATAAAACTTTTTTGGAATATAAGTTCCTAAAAATGTAAGATTCAATTGAAAATTGAAGATTTATCATCCTTTAGTATGAAATTTACCAAAATAATTTAATTTCATTTAAAATCATTCAAAATCGTAAATAAATCATTTTGCAATAATTCATACCTTGTGATGGGACTCATAATTAAGATTCATAGAGATTTCAAGTAATTAAACTTTAGTTATAATGTTTATCAATACACTCACAAATTTTCTTGGTTACTAAAATAAAATATGTAACCAGATTCA